AGGCCCGTCAGGTTTGTGCGTCCGAACGTGCCCTTAGGATAGACATGTATAGTATGTTAGTATGTTGTGTTTTTACAGGCTTAATACATGTTTCTCAAGTTTAACTATGTTCTTTGCTGAAAGGGTAAGTAAATAAAGATGAACGACCTCTTTCAGAAATGAGTTCATTGGATTTTTTTCTTTGCTTGTTTCTTTATAAGCATAATGTAGTGGAATATATGGGGACGTTTCTGGGAGTGGATGATTTTAAGTTTTAGGTCGAAATTGACTGCTTTTATTAACAGGAACCTGTTTGCATTGCATCATTAAAATTCCGCTGTGCTATAAGTAACTACTACAAAGATCCTTTACTGGCTCTACCAAGACACATAGGTCTCCATAGGGAGGTGGCGTAACAGCCGTTGTACCGTAGGAGCTCCTGGGCTGGTCTACTAAGAGGACCCGGTGCCTCCTTCAGGTGCGAATAGTGGCCACCGGGGACGTTTTATTTAGAAAAATCCCACACTCCCTAGTCTCCCCAAAACACTAGGCCTTTTGAAGGTGAACACAAAAAAGGTATCCTTCACTACGCATATCTCAATGAGTAACTGGTCTAAATATACAATTAATCAGTATTTACCTTACCACAGATTAAGACAATATTATATTCTTATTCCTAGCAAAAGCTTTCATAAATGCAAGATTATATTATGTCCATTCGTTGCAAACGCCTACAGAAATCGAGCTCTCTTGTCTAAGTTTTATAAAGTACTAGTTTATAGATTTTACTTACAAAGTAATTACTTAGTACTGAAAACTCTTCTAATAATGGTACTTGATTAACGATTATGTACTTTATTAATACTTTAAGAATATACTTTGTTCTATAGAACAGTTCCCCAGCACTTAGTTAAGTAATTAGATTATGATTTGACTGTATAAGTGAAATTGCTTAGTCTAAGATCGACTTAGGATGTTTCTATAATTAGGTTAATTTAGGTTTTAAGTAAAAACTGAGTCTATTTAGAATTAGTTACAATTGAGTGTTGATTATTAGAATATATTTTTTGTTAACGAAAGAAATTGACAGTGTACCTACTACCAACTCATGAGGTTCCTTTACACAAAAATTACAAATTGGGCGATTCCATTCTCCATGCTACTCCTGAAAACCATGGAAATCCTCATAATACTTTCGTCGTCATCAGCCTTCTAATGTTCCCACTGTTGGGACACAGCCTCCTCTCTAGGAGAGGGCTTGGGCCATAATCCACCACGCGGGCCCAGTGCGGTTTGGTGGATGTCACATGTCTTCGAATTTTTGGTTCTAGGACATGCCGGTTTCCTCACGATGTTTTCCTTCACCGTTTTGAGAGCAGTGGTGATGAAATAAATTACACAAAGTAATGCGCCTGGCTGGGTTCGAACCCGCGACTTACAACTCGTAAGTCACGGCCGTTACCACTCGGCCACCACTGCTCATAATACTTTACCTCATAGTAATACGAGAGGAAGGCAGAGGTGGAGGAGTGTACAGTGTACAATGTAATCCCCACTTTGCACTATTTATGTTATGAGTCCCATGTAGTAGGTGGGCCTATTGCCGTATACCGGGCTCAATTCCAGACTCCGTACCGCTACTCAGATTTTTTTAAATACCTGGTAATACTTTGCCCGACGCGGGAATTGATCTTGCTAGCAGTCGCACTTGCGACCACTGGGCCAACGAGGCAGGCAGGATTTCGCATATGCTTAAAATTATATGCACAAAACAATAATTTCTCAATCTGATCTAAGCAAATAAATATTACAGTCTCATATGTCCATACAAAAAAAAGTCTTCTATAAACTCGTTTCTCCCATAAAAAAGTAAGATACCACCCATTTCCCTAACAGAATTTAGTATGACATCTCCAGACGGTACCATTAATCACAGATGCTCGTAAACGGCCACCGTTAGACGTGGGTCTACCGAGCAGACCATAATCACAGACGGTATTAGGACGACACTGACTAATCATTATGGATGTAACACGGTATTAGGCGATAGGTTATGTTATTAGGCCACATAGGAGACACTAGGACTAGTTAAACGGGAGATATAAACCGAGAAATCTATTTCGTTGTCATAACATAACAACATCACGCCTTTATCCCCGAAGGGGTAGGCAGAGGTGTAGGTACACAGAAGTGACACCCACTTTTCACTATTTATGTTATGAGTCCCATGTAATAGTGGGTGAGCCTATTGCCATATACCGGGCACATTTCCAGACTCCGTGCTACTACTGAAAAATTTTTGTTAAATCCCAGTAATACTTTGCCCGACCCGGGAATCGAACCCAAAACCCCTTGCCCGACAGTCGCACTTGCGACCACTCGGCCAACGAGGCAGGCATTCGTTGTCATATTGAAGTAAAATGGTCCAGTCTTGGTAGTACAATAGTTTTAAAAATAGATAAAATGTTTAAAACAAAGAATAACTAGTGAACCATTGCAAAAGCAAACTTTGAAAGCGCATACGAACTCATAGTACATTATCAAAACATAACGCCATGTAATTCTCGAAGAGGTATTTCTCATCGGATGGCGTGCGATGCGAATATAGTCTACTTTATGTCTAGTGTTTTATGTGCGTATTTACATAAAATTGTTTTTTTACCTAAAAATCTTTATTTTTTTGTTTTTACTTTATACATCGAAACTCCTAGTGGCAAATTGTTTTGCAGCGGGACGAAAACGAAATAGATTTCACGGTGTATTATTAGGTCCCTATGTCTGTGTACCTAAGGACCATAATTATCATCATCATCATCAGCCGGTTTCAGTTTACTGCAAGAACTGCAAAACTAGACTAAAATAAGACTAATTAAAAGTAGCCTGACATAAAAAGGGTTCGCCTTAATCTCCACTTTTGTAAGGTTTTAAAGGCTTTATCCTTCTTGCAACTATGTACAAATCCCCAAAAAGCCGGCAACGCTACTACTAAGTACTCTGATGTTACAGCCGTTACAGGTGTCCATGGGCGAAGCCGATAGCTTACAATTAGGTCAGCTCGTTTGCCGCCCTGCTAAAAAATTAGGGAGTGCTGCTGCCCTGTCGCTGTCAATTACATAGACTTCTTTGACAAGAGAAAAAGAACAGGGATACCGATGACTGGCTTCATCATCGTCATAATCATCAACAGCTGAAAGACGTCCATTGCTGGACAAAGGCCTCCCCTTAGTCCTCCACGTCGAACGACAACTCGCCACCTGCATCCACTGGCTCCCCGCAACTCTGGCGATGTCGTCGGTCCACCTAGCGGGAAGCCTGCCCACGCTTCGTCTTCCGATCCGTGGTTCCGATAACAGGCTTATAATAATAAAATGAATAGCAGTAACTATCATATTTTTCTCAAACAAAACTGTACATAGATAACGATAATGAATAACTTCAGAGAATTTTCTCCGTATGTCGGCAAGTGGAGCAGTTGGAAGAGTATTACTGATGATACAATGCACAGGTGTCGATAGTGAGAGTATGAGGCGAGATAATTGATGTGGTATCTTCTAAATTATACTGACTTTTATTGATGTAGTTGCGAATTTCCTCAATGAATGAGTTTTTGCTAATTACAGACCATAACAGCTGCACTCATATTGTTTAAGATATTGTAGGTAAATCAATTCCCGCTTTTGGAATCATTCCGTCTTTGTAATAGATTAGACGAAATCAATTGATTCATTAAATAAGTATGCCAGTAAATTTCGCCTAGTTCCCATAATTTTGAATACGAAACAATCGTCTCTCAAGTTATAATTATCTCTCAAGTTATAATGTGCAATAGTGAATACAAAAGCACTTCAAATTAAGAACGTAATTGAAATTCTAATAACTTAGAACAAATCGAATCTAAACTACTCGGAAATTACAAAACGTAGCAACGGTCCAAAAAGTAAAGCTTAGAATCATGTTAAAGTTATAAAATAAATTAAAATTAAAAACAAATTGATACAGAATCGAAAATTTAAAATGTTCACTTTACAGTTTAGAGTTTTCACGGCTGTCGTATATAAAATATTCATTTTCCGAACGCACGATAAATAAATCGGGTACGTTTATTGATGTTATAATCATTGAAATTGCAAATTACTTTATTATTGTGCTCGAATATTAATTACTATCAGAGGACCAATGCAGTCCGCTATCTATTGTAACGATTATTTATTTACAAATACGAGCGATACATTAATGCACATTAATTACAGCTCAATAAAAATGTAATACCAGCTAAATAAATTGCTCTGGTGTAAATGTGATAAAATGTAAAATGTGAACAATTTACTAACGTTGTGGCATTTTTTAATTCCAAGCTCAACTAAATAACTCGAGCGAAATAAAAGGTAAGGAAGAAAGATTAAAACATTATCTCCCTTTCATAAGGACCCTCGAGGAAATAACTCTAATGCGGGAAACGCAAAAAGCGATGAAAATTAAATAACCCTGCTTAGTCCACTTGACGTGGTGGTTGTAGGAGAGTGATAAACGTCAGGGTAACAAATGGGCCGTGTCATTGCAGCCCTGTATGTACTGCCACGCTGCTCCATATCTCCGAGGACCGGCCTCGCTGCCCACTGCCTCCCTCGCCGGCTATTAATAGAGCCTTCTTTAAAATAAAGTGACCAACCGCTATAATGTCAAGTCATTCCGATTATATCATTATCGATTGTAACAACCATGGCATTCTGTCGAACAGCTGAGCCACCGGTCCGAGGTTATTTAGCCGGGTTGTTTAGACGCAATGCAGATCACGTGTGCGCTGAAAAACCTACAGCGGCTTCTGTATACGCCCTACGACATATTCCATCTCTATCTTTCGCATAAAAGAAATGTTAAGTTAGAATGAAAAGACGGTTTTGGGGTTGAGTCGAGTCGCCGACGCGTCTGCGTGTCGCGCATATCCAGCGGTCGATGCCGGAGCGTTGCGCGCGCAAATGTCTACCTCACAGGCCGTTCGAATTCATTCCGATCGGAGTTCTCGTGCCGAGCGGTCGATTCATACGCTAGCCCTGGGCGAACCGTCGGCAGTCGCGCCGGCGCCGCCGTCGGCGATGGACCACGACGAGGACAGGTCCTTGTCTTTGGGGACGGAGGTATCTGCCTCCGTGCCCCCACCGAGCCCTCTTACGGGATGTTATTTGCTCGCGGTGATCGGGGAGCCCCACACTCACGAGCACAAGGAGATTATTCTGCAGCGGCTTGTTAAAGGTAAGCAGAAATGTTTGTTGCCTTATTCGGAAAAAGTCGGAACTGTCAAAGTGACAGCTGTCAAATTGGGAGAAAATTAAATTTGCCGGCGAGCGCCTATTGTGGAATTAGAAACGTTATTTTTTAGCATCACAACACGCACTTTCTCCATTGATTCTTTCCGATGAAAAATAATAGTTCCGATGTTTTCTGAATGTTTATTATTTTACGTAAGCAATGTGGAATTTTGTTGTTTTCCGTGTGAAAATTCGGTGCGAGTACAAGTAAAAAAAGTAACATCTGTGCAAAATTTGGAGAAATGTGATGTAATGCGGCAATTATGTAGATGGTGGTTGAGTTTGCCGGTTCGGTCTATTCTCCCGTTACGTCACCGGTGGCGTAGTTTGGGCTAGGACGGTAACGTCAGTAAATAATTAAACGAAAAGACTGCGGCAAACATACCGCAGGACAATATTTATATTACGTAATACTTTTACTTTATTTTCACTCGTCGACTTCCCAAGTCTATAAAAATATTCAGCCTGAATGGCTTGAACATGAAACAAACCGGCTTTATTTATAACGAAGAGAAGCCGGTCGTAACAAATTTATGAATGTTGTAAAACTACTGATGAATTGCATTGATTATATTATTGAATGCTTGAGCACGAACTAATTAGTTATCTATCAAATAATAGTAAAAGTGTATTGCGGTACAATACACGGTATTAACATTGTTCAGTTACTTTTCTCTCATTCAGCTAATGATTCAGTTTTCCTCTGAAACATTTGCTTGATCTTTTACGTTTGAAAACGAATGTTTCATGGACACACGTGAAGAAATCAAGACGCCGGCTGGAGATAACAAGGAGATATGTTTAAAGTATGATTCAAACGATGATTTAGTTTGGTTGGCGACACTTCATCATGGATTGGAATGCAGTAATGTTAGTCACAAAATGACACGAAAAGTCACTACTGGACTATTTGTAATATTGGCGTAATCTGTTAGTTTACACAGATGTTTCGTTTGAACCGCAGCATCTTAGGACCAGTTAAATGGTTTGACAACTGTTTGCCGGCGAGGAGGTCATTGTGATGCGCTCCGGGTTGCAGAGGTCAACCGACGGACTATTGGAAATAGGAAGTCATGTTGGATTAAGTTAGTATCAGCCTAGTAAAATAGAAATGCGTGCTTTGATTGATTACCGACGGTAATTGTTTAATAGTTTGACGAGTACTTTTATTTTCTTAATTTAATACGCATTGCAGTATCAACGATACTAAATCACAAATAAGTCACTTTGGTGACATTATTCAGTAACCAAATTACTGTATTTAGTAACACGATATCACAATGTAAAAAGACCTATAAAAAGAACACCCATTTTACGCGAAACGATAAAAAAATGATGCAGGTTACAGATAATATTCGCGTATCAACATTATCGGAAAAATAAATAAACAATTCACGATTACGGAATACTTATCCGATTTGCGATCGATACGGAATTTTTCGGAATGAAAACAAAAGCATTTTATGCGTTTTTCAAATGGATTTACGGAATCCGCGTGTGAATTTCTTCCGTAATTCTGACATAATTTACGTGAAGCGGCATTTTTTCGTGCGAAATATTAATTAATGTTTGTCACTAGTCATGTTTTCTACTGGAAAGTAATAGGTATATGATGTATGTAGCCAAATATACTCTAAGTGGATGACGTTAAAGCTTTTAATTAAATGAAACTTTATTCGGGTCAGCTTTTAGACCACTAAAGCACTAATTACGTAAGAGTACCAGTAACCTAAAACGGCGGAATGTTATGTCGCTTTTACACTTAATTATGTTTGGAATTATGTCATATTTACACTTTAATCACATAAGTGATACGAAACAGAAAACTAAAAAGTTTTAAATTTAAACTTAAAGTATAATATTCCTCTAGGACGCTTAACATCCTTATGTCACCAATGAGCCTTTTCATTCCACGGGAAACCTCTTGAACATCTTTTAACTTAAATACCGGTGTAATCTCCAATAATCATCGGATATCTCTATTTATTATATTAGATAATTTTCTTTATTTATTTATTCTATACAAAAAAACTTTACATTGATTATAATATACTGGTCCATATTAATTGATACACAAGTTTGATTGCCCGATAAGACCTTCAAACCTTAAAAAGGATTGTCTTTTTAAAAGGCCGGTAATGCTCTTACAACTCTAGTTTTTATAGGCGTTCAAAGCGGCCCTAATAACTTTATCAATAGATGATGCACCTACTCATATGCCTTATCCTAATAAAATATTAATTCACCAAAAATAAAAATCTTATACTATTATATAAAGCGGAAGAGTTTGTTTTTTGTTTGTTTGTTTGAACGCGCTAATCTCCGTAACTACAAGTCTGATTTGAATAATTCTTTTTGTGTTGGATAGCGTATTTATCGAGGATGGCTATAGGCTATACAACATCACGTTACGACCAATAGGAGCTGAGCAGAGCGTGTGAAACCGCGAGGAAGTAGCTAGTATACATATAAATGAACAAATCAACAACCCAATATAATTAACAAATCATAAGACCTACCTCAATATTTTGAAATAGTGCAAAATGTCAAAACGTGGACTATAAAACACATTCGCCTTCTTCTAAATCGGTTTCTTGACACCTCTATTAGAATAACACTTCATGTTGTTGCTGTATAATCGTTAATAAATAAAATATATTTATGATACAAACTAAATATTAAATTTGTATTGGAATATGTTTAGTTCAGGAAATGCGCTTACTTAATTACTTACTTAAAGTTTTTCGTTAATAATTGAATATTAATTATTATATTTTCGGCTTACTCACGTAATTATTTGACGAGGAACTCGACTAGTTTCAAGTCATGTTAGAGGCTCGTATTCATGATATAATTCAAAATTATCATTCTATTTTTTATTTTCGTAATGATTTTGATTAAATGGTTTTAACTTTTAAAATTGGTACGATGAGTTTGGCATTATGTTTTGATGTTTCATCAAACCCTATTTTTTTTCTTAAAAAAACTTTTAATAAAAAAAATGTTTATCTTTTCTGAAATAGTAGGCGGACCGAAGGACCAAAAATAATATGTATGTCGCATTACTTATTTATAATTAATTTTAAAATAAATTTTGAGACTGTAATAAATAAAAAGAATTTGTAAGCATGAAGAAGAAAAAAAATCGAGTATACACAAATCATTACTTTATAAACTACGTTAAAAAAACCGACTCCAACCCCTTCTTTTTTTGAAGTCAGTTCATTAATATACTAAAGCCTTCTCCTAAGTATACCAAACACTTTTCTGAAAACAGCATCAAAGTTGGTTTAGCCAATCGCGAGATTATCGTCAAACGTACATACATGCACACAGGTCAAAATAAGAACCACCGTTTTTAAAGTCGGCTTTTTTATGGCATAAGCCGGTAAACAAGCTGATGGATCATCTGATGGTAAGCAATCGGCGTTGCCCATGGACACCTGGAACACCAGAGGCGTTACAAGTGCGTTACCGGCCTTTTGGGGATTAGGAGTTTGAGGATCGTTGGGGATTCAGGAATTAGGGAGATTGGGGAAGGGGAGCCAAGGGGAATTGGGCCTTCGGTAACCTCACTCACACGATGAAACACAACGCAAGCGTTGCTTCACGTCGGTTTTCTGTGAGGCCGTGGTATCACTCCGGTCGGCTTGATAAAAATATGATTGCTCCTTGGAGTATTATTGTATATCTATCTAAATAATATTAGTTAGTACTGTAAAGTGAAGTACTGTGTTATCACCACGCGTTGATGCTTCAAGTGGTTCGATGAAATCGTTATTAACTGCCGATTATAATGCATATCTTTCCTGTACCTATTTAAAGTCCTAGAATAGGAACTACTGGACAAATTTTGATGAGAAGCGGAATGATAACAGTTTTGGATCAATACAAAATCTTACATTCTAATTACTTGTTCAACATTGATGCTTAACCAGATGACAGGTTAGATAAATAACGACAAATACTTAATTAAAAGTTGTTAACTGTTGCACCTTTGATTCTAATTAGTCTTGACTTAATATACACAATTATTATTTTACTAGCTACTTCTGCGCGGTTTCACACGCTCTGCTCAGCTCCTATTGGTCGCAGCGTGATGTTTTATAGCGTATAGCCATCCTCGATAAATGCGCTATCCAACACAAAAATAATTATTCAAATCAGACTTGTAATTACGGAGATTAGCGCGTTCAAACAAACAAACTGCTTTATATATACGATTATTAGGTTATGTGATTATTATGGTATAAGATTATTAGGTTCCTATTAATTGGAAAACTTTACTGTCTTCACACACTCACACACAATTCGACAACAAGTAAAAAAATTTCCGGATTTATATAGCTTAAAACAAAATCAAGGATTTCCTAAGGAATTCAGATTCTTATAATAACTTACTATCGTCAGACATACTAAATTAACCAAAATCGCGGGTTACTCACGTTACTCAGTGAGCTGCGCCGACGTCGCCGCGACCGCGCACGCTGCTCATGAGGAAGAACCCCTCTGTAGTTCGAAACTTGTAGAGCTTTTCCTAGTATATTCACGTGAGGAACCCGCGGTTTTAGTTAATTCAATTCATATCCATTGCCCATTCACTCCTATCTTAATAACCCTTTAAAATATATCTTTACATCTTTGTGATTCCATGTCTAATCCTACATTTTGTAACTTATCAGACATTACCACAACAGATATCGGGAATGTCGGTAACCCCTTTTGGGGGTTCCGAACCGCATGATATTAGACAACGGATTATAAGGGTTCAAACGAATGATAAAGTCAAATTCAGATTAAATTTGTTTGATAAAATAAATTATTGTTAGGAGAATATCGATGCTGCAATATTTCACCGACTTTTTTATAGGTGTTCATTGGTATTTGAAACATTAATTTTGCAAAATATTATAGCTGGGGACTTCTTCTTCTCTATTAAGTGAC